CAGGTGTCCCTGACTACACAGAAATTGATCACTATCCGGGCCAGTGTACACCAACTGCTCATCAGTACTGTTTTAAGGTATGCTAGCATGTATGTACAAAGTATAAAGAGATTTGTATGCATATTAGTGGACTCTCATTTCTGAGGACCTATTGCATCACTGTAGTCACCCTTCAAAGAGAAAATGCATTTACATTCAGTATGTTTTCCAAGACTGTTATGATGCAGATGGGCAGGTGGATAGACCTGATCTGGTGGATTGTTTTCATCATTAACTGTAATGATCCTACAGTCTAAGAAGAACTGGAAGAGGACAGGAAACCTTAAAAACTCCTCTATAATTGCTCATATTTCACAAATGCCTTTCCTTTTTGTCAATACACTGGAAATTGCTCATGAATGACTCCTTAACTATGACATAAATAACGAATAGCTGATAGAATTAAGCATGAAACATTTGTCCTTGATTAATGTAATTAAATATAATTTAGTACACTTATACCATGTTACTAAGTCTAGCTAATAATGGAGATCTTAAGAATATCGAGTACAGTATCTTACCATATGGCTATAATGAATTACAAACCATTAATTTGAAGTGTTAATCAAAAATAAGACATAGAACTAAGCTAATTTTAATTTGGATTCACAAAGCAGAACCTAGTCATTTATTACTTCATTTGACAATGAGATATTTTTCCTCATCTAAATTACTATTTCATGTTTCTTTACTTCTTATTGAACTCTTACTAAACCCAATTAAACTTTCTTATTTTTTCCCAGGAATAATGGTCACATTTGAGAGAAAATCCAGCTGTATTCTCCTCTTCTAAATATAGGAAATTTCTCTCACAAAGTCTTCCAAGGAAGAAAATTTATAAGTAGAACCATTGTACTTTCCTGAATTAGATTACTCTTCAACTAAACCAACTGCTATATCCCTAGGATGAAATCCTGCACCAATGAAGTCAATAACATAGCCTTTAGCCAGGAAATGCTATCAGCTGTAGATAAGTCAAAAACCACTAATAAACTTGAGTTTATAAAATATTCAGTATATAGTAGCCACCATTAAAAAGTTAATATTTGACCTCAATTACTACACAGTGTTACATGAAAAAACTTCAGTATTTCCCTATTCTTTAAAAAGGAAACATGGTAAATAGGCCAATGAATTTCTGAGTGAGTGAATTCAAATGTTTAGTTTTCTAGTCTTCCAGAGAAATATCAGTTACTCATCACTTATCTCATTTTGTGCTATTGATAACTTAAAAAAATTAAACCAATCTAAATATATGAGTACTATTAACACATCTTTTCAGCTCTTTACTGGAATTCTAAAGTCCTCCTTCATTTAGTTGCTGTATAAAGAGGAAGCGACAAAAACAAGACCTAGTCTAAAGCTTGATTCCAGGTCTGTCCAAATAGATTCCCTCAAGCTTTCTGGGGAAACAAAAAGAGTTTCTATCTGGTAGTCATTTTTTTTCCTTAGAGACTGTACCCTCTCTTTGAGCTGCTCTAAAAGCAGTGCAGCACTGTTCCTTTATAATATTGAGTCAGAGAGCCAAACATTCTCCTCAACTTCTCTAAACTATGAAAAGAACCGGCCTAAAGTCATTCCCTCCACCCCAATATCTAGATTGATGCCACTTCACTTATTATGCAAACCTGGACAGTGTGCATCAGGGTCTGTTTTGCTCATCACATCCCTTAGTCTACGAATGCCCATAACTGGCATATTTTAAATGTATAAATAAATACATTTATAAATTAATGGAGATATCCTTTCTCCTAGAACTGGAAGGGACATTGAAAAGTCATCAAGTCCAGCCCCCTGCCTTCACTAGCAGGACTAAGTACTGATTTTGCCCCAGATCCCTAAGTGGCCCTCTCAAGTATTGAACTCACAACCCTAGGTTTAGCAGCCCAATGCTCAAACCACTGAGCTATCCCTCTCCCATTGTGTAAGAGTGTATTAGATTTGGTACTGATCCTCTAGCCCATCATCGTTAGGGTTTGTGTAACCTCATTCATTCTTGGACTCTCTTTCTCTCAGATAAAATATTAAAGAATGTTCTGTATGTGTGTTAGAATTCTGTCTGGAATTACTATGGGGAGGGACTGAAATATAATAACTGGAGAAATCTTCCTCTGAATGTTAGCAATACTCCAATAAGATTGTATGTGTGTTCCACAGATCACACTGTCTTCTTATTTGTTGTATTCATGGATAAAAATTAAGGTCAGATAGTTGTTCCAGATCCTAAGAGATGTCCACCGCAAGAATCTCAGGGAGAGAGCTATATATTTGAACTAAAACTTCTTTATAGAACACATTCTTTAGCTACCAGGATTTCTTTTCCCCCCAAACATTTCAGATTTGTCAAACTTCATCTTAAACCCATAAACTTCTGCAAAGATTTAAACGTGTTTATCTCCTCAAAGTAATCAAAAACAGCAAGATCCCATACATATGCAGCTTTACTTTGTGATGTACCTCAGGTACAATGTGCACTGTATAATGCATTTTGTCACAGACTCTCTCAGCAAAGGATTCTATGACTATAGCCAGTAACAAGAGTGCAAGTGGGCACTCTTGCTTGATTCTTTAATGAACAATCAAGCAAAATCTATTGCCATTTATTCAAACGATTGCTCCGGTATCAGTGTATGGGATCTGAGAATAGTGGAGTTACCCCCTTAATATGAATTAAGAATTTATTCAAAGATTCTATTTCTCTGAATGAAATAAAAGAAGCCTGTGTGCATTACCTAACTTTAGAGCCAAGTGAGTAATTTCCAGACTCTTTCTTCTGTTGCCATCTGTCTATCTTAGATAAACCTTGTCTAATCTCTGACTAGTAATTTTGGGTGATTCACATAAGATGTCTGAGAGAGGCCTGATTTACTGAAAGTTCTGAACATCCACTCTCTGGCAGTCAGGCTCCTTGAATGCATCTCATGTTGGACACTCAAAAACGGAGGCACCCCAAATCACTAGTCAATTTTGAAAAAAAAATGTCATAAGTCTATAACAAAATAGACCAATGGAACTACAAGAAGATCTTAACTTGCTTTTGTTGAATATTGTAATAATCAGCCTCTCTAATAGAAGTAAGGAATTCATCCCCCATCAGGATACCATTAAAATATAGATGTTAGGGCATGTGTTAATAATTCTTTAAAGATTTGGTAAAGGGTTTATTACTAGTGAAAACAGTGCTGTAGAGCAGTGGTCTCCAAACTTTTTTGATCGCGCACCCCATCAGTAAAAAAATTTTGAGCACACAGCCCCTGCTCCCGGCCGAACTGTAGAAACCAACAAAAAAACAAAAAAAAAGCTGCTCGGACTCCCGGCTGAACACACTGTCCTTGGAACACACTTCTCTAATTCTTGCCCCCGAAGGATCCTCTTTGGAGACCACTGCTGTAGAGAATGAAAAGTCTATCTTCGACCAAGGTGTAATGGACACCATGAATACTAAGAGAGCTAGCCTTTGAGTCAAATACTTTAAATATTTTAACAACAACCTTAAAGATCTTCCTGTTCCACGCTAGTGTTCGACAAGTAAATTATTTGTATTGCAGAGCCAACTAATCAGGAACCCAGCGTGCTAGGAACTATACAAATACATAATACTACACAGAGTCTGCATCAAAGAGTTTACCGTCTAAATTGAAACATGCTGTAACAGAAGAGTGTAACACGTGATAAGAGGGAAGGGAAGACAAAATGTAAGACAAAGTGTATGAGTTTAAGATGAACTTTGACAAATCTGAAATGTTTTAGGGGAAAAGAAATCCTGGCAGCTAAAGAATGTGTTCTATAAAGAAGTTTCAGTTCAAATATAAGATCACATGTTTACAGAGCTTAGTTTGTAAATAGTCTGATGGATCAGCATATTCCAATCATTTGGAAATATATAGTAATTTGGAATAAACAAATAACATCCCAGCTCAATTTAGCCACCATAGTGTGCTGATTGCTTGCAGACTTAACAGCAGTAGCTGGTCTTGGGGGGCAGGGGATAGGCATCTGGGTAAACTCACATGATGATACCTTCCTCTTACATTGACTGCCCAATTTGTGAATGTGAGAAACATTGAGAGGTGCAGTTACACAAGGCTGCCATTTCTCCCAGTCCCCTTAATTGGAAAATTGACTTGTCACATTTTCAGCACAATGACACCTTATTGGCATTGGCCCCAGAACATGTCATCTCAACCATTGTTATGTATTTCTCTACACAGTAGTGAAGTGCCAACATTTTTGCTTATTTTCAGCACACAGAAACCGAGAACAAAAGAAGCAGGAGAGTGGGACTGGATAGCTTTATTTGGGGAACACGACAATCCTGAGCCAACCACAGACAACACACAAACTGCTCTGATCTGACAGTAGTCTGAGATTAGACATTAAATGACTTTGCTGGTGTGAATTTAGGTTTTAGTGGTGTGTACTTCATTATTTAAACAGCTTGCAATTTATGTGACAAAATAAGTCAAGTCCAGATGAACATGAATACTATAATACCTTGTCACCTGGGCAGAAGGCAGTTGCCAGCTGAGGGATCATTCTGAAGATACTATTATTAATAATTTCTGCATCATAGCAAGCAATGTCCAGACAACCAGCATCTATCTTCCTTTCTCTCACTTTTAATTTCTCATACAAACAAGGACAGATTAAAATTAAATTATTGCCTGTTGAATTTTAAAAGGAGATAATTCAAGGGGAATGAAATAGTGAAAGTTGTGAGCTGCAGAGAATATGTAAATAAGCCATGAAAATGCAAGTATTAGACTAATTTCTAATATAGTATTTATCAAAAGAAAACTTGAAGTGGGATCAATGCACAAAACAGAATAAATTGAAGCCATCTCCCTCTGAATGCCCAATGCAGCGCAGATTTTTACGAATAAGAGTACGCTGTGCTTCTTAAATTTAATTGCTGGGATAGACATAGGTTAAAAAATACTTTTTATTATATAATTAATTACCTTCTCTGTGCAGGAGGAGCATTGTCAGATGCTTTGACAGTGAGTGCATAGGACCTCCCTACTGACAATACAACTCCTGGAGCGATAGTGATAAGGCCCGTTCGGTCATTAATGATGAAGTCTCCCTGGTCCCCAGCCAGAATTTCGTATATGATCTGCCCATTTGGCCCTTGGTCTGCATCTATGGCACTGAGCTGCAATTGAAAATCAGAATGTAAATACTTAAGAATCAACTTTCCATCCTATTTTATTTTTTCCCAAAAAGGGATCTTGCTTTGGAGAAGAACATTTTCAAAGCAAGAAGAAACAGTCTGCATCTACTCACTAAAAATATTGTCAAAGGAAAATGTAATTTAAAATAAGAATATCATAAAATGAGTAAAAGAGAATCCTGCATCATGAAAAAAAATCCAAAACAATCAATCCTGAATTTATTTAGGACTTCAAGTAAACTACGAAATCTAAGCATTAATGAAAGGCTAATTAATACAACATTGATGTTATTTCTTATAGATAGGAATTTCTGCCACTGGCTAAAAAAACCCAACCAAACATGTTATTTACAAGAACAAAATAAACGTTTGAATTGGAGGTCTGAAGTTCATTCGTGGAAAAGTTCCCTACCTCGGTCTTCCTTAAAATTGTATTGGGATAGTGCTGTTGCTGCCAAAAGTTATGATATATTCAAGTCTTGCATAAAAACCTGTTCATGTTAAGGGGGGGAACAATGGCATTATCATTTGTAGGCGGTGGGACTAGGAGGTGTACCACAGACTGATTAGATAACCAAGTCCAGGTGAAATGATAAAGGTGCACGTTCACACACACATCTATGAGCGAGAGAGATACTATACGCTGGAAATCCAAAACCATTTATTGCAACTCTGTTTTTGACATTTCTCCCACAAAATTATAAAGCTCTGATACCCAGGCTGTGCAAGTTTAAGGTCAGATATCTTATGATCCATTAGGGCTAGAAATGAGAGTTTATGCCATTGGAAATGGTAGATTCCTATCTTTGTAATGAGATACACAGCAGCTCTTGCTTCTTACTCCTTGTGTATTACCAGTATATGATATGCACAGTCTCTGATAGGAGATATAGGGAATGTGTGTTTTTTTACCAAGTGCACTAAGCTGACTTGGAACGACAGGCATATCCTGTATTGAATAGACATTGTTAATATTATCAATGCACTATATTCACACAACAGGCATATATAGAACAAGTAGGCAATGTTTTCACTTCAGTTGCTTGGGATTCAGGAAGACTATATTTCTTGAGAACAGATCAAAAGTATGCACATTTTAGCATTTCTCTTTCCATATGCAGAATGAACAGATTATTCCATAAAAAGCACATAAATATCTATACATAAATCTGTGGTGGTGCTTGTCCATTGAACTTTATCTCATACATTAAAACAGCCATCTTAATTAATAACACATTACAAAATGAAAAAAAAATGAGGTATTGCATTCTGCTACACTCAGATGTGGGGGAAATAGTTGAAGTATCATTATTAAGCGTGTTTATTAGGGTAGTGCCTAAGGAGCATTCAGGAATGGTGTCCCATTGTGCTAGGCACTGTATAAACAGAATGACAGACAATCCCTGTTTCAAAAAAAGTTTACAATCTAATAGACAAGACAAACACAGGGTGAGGGAAAGGGATATAGCACACAAGCAGAATGAACAATGTAATGGCAGCAAACATCACATTGGTTCCATGATTTTGGGAGGGTGAGGGTTTGAGGAGGGGTGGGTAGTTAGGACGGGATCAGTTAAATGTAAAGAAAATTGAAGGGAGAAGGGACACTGAAAGACAGAGGTGAGGGAAACAGGGCGGGGGAAGCTGAGGAGGTGAAGAGACTGTGAGGGAGGGAAAGGGAGAGGGTTGGAGCAAACAGTCAATCAGCACAGTGCAGACAAACTTCAGTAAAACCATAGGAAGTTCTCTGAATGTCTCATGATCCGTAATTTGACTGCTTCTGCTGCTTCCTAATGGCAACATCTATAGCTGGTTCCTCTCTGTAGTTTTTCCCGGGGGGTGGTGGTGGTGGAGGGAAGCAACACCTGGGGCCTAGTTTCCTCAGTTCTGATTCAAGTATGTGTGTGTTGTGATGCGTACTGGAAACTCCAAAGATAAAACCTGTGAATTCCAGTACCTCTTGATTGATTAATGGGGAATATTTTCTTCCCACGAAATATGTAGTTTGTTGATATAGACAACAGCCAGTACATCAACATGGCCTACTGGAACCTTTGGCTGCCAGCCATAGAGCATGTACTGGCAGCATGTCCATCAGCTCACCTTCCTGGGTGAACAGCAGTGAAGTGAAAGTGACAAAAAAAAATGTTCACATCTCCCCCGCTGCTCATGTTTGGTGTTGGGCAGCAGAAGGCTGAAGCATCAATAGGCATCAGTTGGTACAGGAGAAGAACAGCAGGGGATATGGAAAACTGTAAGAACCTACACTAAGCAGCTCTGACTTCAGAAGTGCTCCCCTGCAGGGCTCATACACAGAAGAATGAAAAAGCGATGGTTCCGCTAAGATTCCTACTGGCAGATCTGCCTTCCTGCTTTCTTGCTCCCACAGCCCCAATGCAGCCACAGGCTCAGCAAACATGGGGACAGGTTCAGGTAACTGTCCGGGAGCCAGAAATCCTCTTCTTTGCCTCTGCATCACTCAGTAGGCTGGCAGAAGTATATGTGGAGGTGGCCTATCGCCAGCCTGTCACTCAAATCCTGTCCTGGATTAGAATATAATGTAACTTATTAATCAACATATTATTACACTGCCAGCCCTGGTCATGTCACTGTAGTTCAGAGAACATTATTCTCAACCTTAGAGCCATCTGCTCCCAAGACCTCTGGTGAAAGGGAGACAAGAAGGAGGAAAACATGCACAGTATCCTGCCACTAGAACAAGCAGGGAGAGTACAACCAAAGCTGTAGCATGCAAGATAATTACATTTACATATGATTCTAAGCTACAGGGAGTGAATAAAACACTGAGGGATGTAGCTCTTTTTCAGAATATTGATAGATTACACAAATAGGCTCAGTGGAATATTAATTTTAATGTGAAGAGTGAGGCACTTAGCCAAAAACAATACCCAAATTCAGTATAGTAAAAATGCACTGAATTAGTTAATATGATCAGAGGAAATAATCTGGATGTATTGGTAGATCCAACATTCAAATTATGGATTCAGTATGCAGCAGGTGACAGAGGCTGTTACTGCTGTTGCACACTATGCTATGTGTAGAATCAACCTTTTCTCAAGAAGCAACAATGGATTAAATAAGGTATAGAGAGTTATAATTAACTGTACTGTAGGTAAGATGCACTGACCCTGAAATTAAAGTGCATTATTGTCTTCACATACAGTATAGCAATATAAGGTGCATTTCCAAGTGAACAAAGGTATATTAAAGTTTACTTTGAACTATTTTTTGGATACATACTTCATTAGAACAGCCAAAGCTCTTCACAGCTTTCTTGAGAGGTAGCATGGTATCATACTCAGGTTGAATGTTTGAAATATTTTTTAATAATGAAACCTTTCAATTATTTTCAAAATAGTAAGCAACTCATGTTAGAAAGTCATTAAAAAAAATCAAAGTGTCATACACTGTCCTTGGAACACACTTCTCTAATTCTTGCCAAATTCTGCATAGGACGTCCTATAAACTGTGTAGTTTCATAACTGCTCTACATTCCATATGATGGTGTCTTTGGTGTTTCAGCTTAATACCCTGTGATGCTTAGATAAAGACAACACATCAAACTGCAGCACATAAAATCCACTTTCTATACTCCCTTAGGGTCTGCAGAAGCACCTCCAGTGAAAAAGCACGGATGCGCCAGTTTTTTAGATCTTAAACATCACTCAAACTGCATATTCCTGTAATCAAATATTCTACATTTACCCTATGCAATTGCTCATACTTATTAACCTTCCAAAGAAAACTTCTTATAAAAACTTGATGACATAGTTAAAGTGTTAAAATACCCTTCCGCACTGAACACCAACAATAAAAACACACACAAGAAAAAGAAAAAAAAATCTTTGAAAAATCCGAGGTCCTAAGTATTTAACTTCAGCAGTTGGGGCAGGGCCAGTTTTTACTGTGACAGCATGAAAAGAGAAATCAGTTGAACATACAAATATATAAATTAGTAAGGTTAATTCAATTTACAAAGAAAAAGCTTTGAAAATTTAAGTAATCTGAATAACACTTTTGGGGCAAAAAGATGTCTGAAAGGTAGAACTGAAGTCCAAGAACTGGCATCATACTTTATAATTTTGGAAATTCAAATGGCAGATGTCTTGAGGTGATAGGACTTCATAATTAATATGATTTTGGAAATATTTTAAAGTCAAAATACATAGAAAAAGTAACAGACTAAATAGGATTTATTCTACTTCCTCAAAATATCTCTTGCATACAGTAACAGTAATTTGGTTACCTTTAAAATGTAAGAAGATTAATAATTTTGCAATGACGTATTCTACAGCTACTCAACCCAGCAAGTTTGGTAGCAGGTAAATGGAAAACTATAATAAGAAATATTATTAACGTTGCATCTCATAAAACCATATACTTGATAAGTATACAAACTCTGATAATCTCAATCACTTTAAACTTGAAGGGAGGAACTGGATTATACCATTAGACCTGGGTCACTTTAGAAGTGACAGTTTCAGAGAACCTGTTATGAAGCTAATAAACATATGACCATCAACACTTCTAGTGGTCCCACATCTGTCATGAACTAACTTTCAATCAAGTTGGTCTGAATCCCACATGCCATACACGATTAGTTTCTGCTGACGTAAATTGAATTGAACAGATATTATCTGCCAAACTGGTTTGTCTCCCAACACCCATACTTGGAACGACTGTTCCAGTCAAGCAAGTCTGATTTTTCAAAGTTATATTTAATTAGTACAAATTTATTTTAGCATTATGGGTAATTTTATGAAAATTACCATGTAAACTATACACCTGAGTCATTTGGAGCAATATGCTACTGAGGACTGCCATGACCTGGCTGTCAAAACTCAGACAGCAACCATACACATTTTTCATTTTTTTCCTTGGGCTCCCCCATGTAATTCAGCAACTGCTTCTGCTAGAAAATGTGCATATAATCCAATATATACTCCATCAATTTATTGATT